ATGGCCATAGCTACTGCTACAGCCCTGCTCTTGTCTGCCTCTGACACACAACAGCTTAGTCTCCAGAGGCTGAGAGACTTCACCAAAAGTCACTACATTTACAGTAGATAGACTGGATTGAAATGAAATGTTCTGTAATAATGCATAGGAGGTTAGACTAGATAATTTAAGGGTTTATTTCTGTTCTATCCTGTGTGAAGTCCAAGTTGAAAGCAGATGCAGAAAGTTTTTGTGCTCTAGTCTAGCATCAGAGACATCTCACCTTTATGTGCCTGAAGTAGCGTGGAGATGATTGCACATAGGGACTGGGTTTGTTGCTTAGTTAAATTCTAAACTGATATGGCTTTACAAATATATCTGCAATGTTTTTCTCATATTTCCATAAAGTTTTTACTTCTTTTCTGAAGCTTCTGTGTTTTGGTTTTTTTTCCTGGTTTTACAGAAAAACATGAATTACAACCAAATGACTTGGCTATCTCAAAATCTTTCGAGTCATCCAGTCGTATGTTTGTCTACCGAAAAGATCTGACTGATTCTTTGGTAAGGATGTGTTTTTTGTACTTCCCATTTTTAATTTGTCTGAATCCAGATCAAAAACTTAATATTCTTCTCAGAGGGCTTTTTCAGTACAGAATTTATTTTTTGCTTCCTTAGTAAAGCTTACTGATCTGCTTTATACCTGGAAAAAAAAATCTTTCATTAACAGCAGTTATTTGACTGGACGGTAATGGAATTTGTTCATCAACTTCAAATAGACAAAGCTCGTGCACAGCTTAAATCTTTCAATCTGCATCAGCCTGGAAAACCTGACTTGTGCTTGTACAGGACTGGATGGGATGAGGATTATTCATTCCATGTGACTCTTCAACCCCCCTGGATTTTGTTCCTCTGTAACACTGAAAGTGGCTGGTACAAAATTATACAAGGTGGACAAACTCTGTGGAATTACTACAAGTAGAAAAAGATGTGTGAGTTCTGCCAAAATTACTGGGCATCAGTGTGACCCCAGTGTTGCAGCAGCCGCCTAGTCAGTCTGTGGCTGGCATATATTGCTGGTGGTATATCCTCTTCCCTTCCTTCTGTCTGTCTGTCTCTCCATCCTCTCGCTGGTGCTGGGGAGGGGAGCAGGTTGAAGGGCAGCAGGTCTCTCTCATTGCCTCTGTCCTTAGAAACTGGGATTGCAAACTCTCTCTCGTCCTGTGACTTCCCAAAACCTCAGTGAGGCAGGAATGGTCAGGCACTCAAAAAATGAATCTTTCAATAGTTTTCCACTAATTATGCAGAGGAAAGCGCAGTGGTGGTATTGCAACTGACTTTTCCGTGTTGTCAGTACCGCTAGGATCTGTGCATTCATCATAGGGATGAGGAATGTCTATTTACATTTTGTTGGATCAATGTGCCCCAAAGAGCTGACATGCTGCTGTCGTTGTGATCTGTCATCCCCATTATCTCTGGTGTTCTAGCCACCTCTAAAAATGTGAATATTAAGGGAAGGTTTCCAGTTCAGACAGGTGACAGCCAATCTAGTTTCATTAGTTACATAATAAAAATCACTAAACTTGCTGTAACCATCAGAAATATAGCACCGAAGTAATGGTTTAACTGATAAAAATGATCTTTCGTCTTGGCAGATGGTTCATGTGCCAAGCTTCAGCCTGATGAGGTAAAAAAACCCAAGAGAAATTCAGACCTTTGAAAATCCAAGCTAATAATGGAAATGTCAAATGACCCTTAACACCAGCAGTACCAGTGCACTCCACAGTAACATGCTGAGTAGCTTCTCAGGATCAGGACCCACAGTGCTTTACTGTTTGTTGGTGATTGCATTTGGAGTAAATTAATCATAAAATGGATGGATCTGTTTTATTTGTAAAGGTGGGTGGGTGGGCAGGTTGTGTGCATTTATCCTAAATCTGGTGTGTTTGCAGAATGATTCCTTTATCTTATAAAACAAAAATTTTTGGTGTCTTAATTCATATTTTATTTTCTGATGGCTTCAGGGATTTTATTTTCATTGTGCTCTTTGCTTGGCCAGTGTTTTATATTCAAGGTTCAGAGAATGAGAAGGAGAGGCCTAATCCAATAGCAGATCATTGATCTTATTTATCCATTTCCTGTGTCAAGCTATTTGTTAAATAGGCTATAACTCCTTGGTTTTGATTAGTGGAGGGGGAAAAAGCCCTCAGGGTGCACTTAGAGAAGATTACTTTCTCAGCTCTGTTTTGTACCTTGGTCTAGTAGCTGTTGCATTGCAGAACTTCTGGCATTTGCTGAGGTTTTTTTCTTGCTCTTGGCTATTGATTTAGAACCCATTTGCTGAAAATGAGGAATTGCAGCAAAAGTCTGTGAGAATTTTGGGAATCAACACCTGGGACCTTGCCTTAGAACTCACAAACTTTGACTGGAGCCTCTTCAATGCAATTCATGAGGTAAGAAGCAGCATGTCCACTTCCAGGTATATTACTGTCATGCAGCGTTGTGCTGTTATGATGTTGTGACATTGCACCAGTGTTCTGGAGCATCAGTATTCCTTGGTGTTCAGTTCACCATCATGACACTATGATTTGGCAACTCTCAGTAGTGGTGGCATTAAATCAGATCCAAGAGATGCATTGCAGTCCTTGATACTGAAAAAAATTGTCAAGGGTTTGTAACTTCCCTGTGCTTGGGCATCTCATATGTTCCCTGTATACCTGGGGGGTTTTGTTGAGATTTGCCTCAAGAGAGTAAAAGAACATGATTATTCTCTAAAAACTGTCTGTGTGAATATGTTATATATGCAAATTGTCCTTTGCACTCGATAATGTTCCAGTAAATATAGGACTCCACAAATGGGTGTCCTTGATATCACTTTAACCACAAAATAATTCACTATTTCAGCAATTTCACCATTTCATCACAGTTCTCGTTAGGCTTTGGTGAGATAAAAAATACAGGACAGGCTTTATAAAATGGGATAATGGCCCACTTCAGTGCCCATTGGCTTGTTTCAGTGACTTTGATGGGTTCTGGTGTGAGCTGCTGAGTAAAATGCACAGTTAACAGTACAAAATGTCACTTGAAAGTATCACTCACTGAAAAGCATGTTGGCTTTCTGAGAAAATGACTGGGAAATGCCCTTTCTGCTCATGAGATGCTTTCCTTGATCTTTCATTTCAAGTTCTTTTATTCAGGTTAGACATGTTAAATCTAGAGCCAGTCAAGGGTTTTTTTTGCACAGAAAACTGTTGTTGAAAGCTTGGCTATTTTTAGGAAGAAGTTTGAATGGAAATTTTTCAGATTCTGCAATGGTCTGATGGTTGCTTTTTCATACTGCAACAGAAGATCTGAAATACAGAAGGAGACAGATGGTTTTTGTCCTATACCTGGCTGTAGCCAGAAGTGGAACTGCAGGAAATCTCACAGAAAAGCACATCTTGCAGGTCTTTCAGTCTGCCTGCCTGCTGTAATGTGCCTCTAGGCTTTGCTAAGCCAAACCTGAACCCTGAATAGTTTGTGATTGGCTCTTGGATAATGAAAAAATAACAATTTGTAACCAAGTCTTGTTTCAAAAACATACTTGTAAATAATTCATAATTCATCTACATTTAAATTATTTTTATATCCTTAATAATATTGTCAATGTCTTCCAGCAAGAGCTCATATACTTCACATTCAGCAGACAGGGCAGTGCTGAAAACACCGAGAACCTCAGTCTTCTGCTTCAAAGATGCAACGAGGTCCAGCTTTGGGTCGCCACCGAGATACTCCTCTGCAGCCAGCTCTGCAAACGTGTACAGCTAGTAAAAAAATTCATCAAGATTGCTGCCCAGTAAGTTACTAAATTTGCAACAAAAATCCTTGAAATCACATGCTTTGTTTGGTGAGAAAGGAGAAGTATGTGCAAGAACAAAGAAAGAAAACTAATTTGTCATCCTGTGTTTTAACAGTGTAGTAAGCATACCTAGATAAAATAGTCTATGAATAACAACAGAAAACACTGGCCAAAACCAGATGTTGTGGAGTATGTGCTGCTCAAATCTTCCCCAGCAGCTTAGCGGCAGTATCTGCAGTGTCAACTGCAAAATCCCTGATGGTGCAGGGATATCTCCTTTCTTAGCAGAGATAACCCGAAAAACCATATTACAAAACTCTTTGAGCAGCAACACAGTTATTCATGAAAGACTACATGGAAACACAAAAACTCTGTTATAATCTTGGAAGTCCTACCTCTAGAGGGGAAACTGGCTGCAGTAAGCTGTTGTCGCATGTTGTCCTCTCTGGAGTATTCTTTTATTTTTTGGAGGGGGGGTTCTTCATTAGTTAGATTTGGCAGTCTATTCTTACACTATTACTAAATATGCTGGCATTTATTCTATGCCTTGGAACAGAATACAAATATATACTATACACAGAGAGTTATTTTCTCTGTGCTCACTCTTATTTTAGTAACCAAGGGAACAGAGCAATTTAAATATGTGCAACCATTCTCCTCGCCTCTCTCTCCATTTTTTTTTGTCTTCTGCAATATTTGAATATGCATGTTCATGGAAAATGTATAATTTGTTCCTTCATCGACTGGGTTGATTTAATTTGCAAGGCACTTACATAGAAAGGACTTTTCTCTGCTGAAGCAGTTTCTTTGGTGAAATGAATTCTTCTAATCTAATCTAGTGTAATTCATAAATGAGATTTGATTTAGTTTGCAAGTTGTATGGTATCCAGTAATACATTTATTTTCTGCCTTATCAATGGCCAAGTTTGGTCCAATTACGTCAAAAAAGGTTGGTTCTGTCTGCCTTGCTGGCACCACAGTAGCATTAATTTGCATTCCAAGAAAAGTTGCACGCCTGTCCCACATCAGTAGGGATACATTTGTCACCAGAGTAAAATGTTTCTCTGTTTGAATTAATTCCATCTCTGTTAAGTGAAAAGCCAAAGTTGTGGAGACTAAATAAGTTGTCAGTAAACGGTAGACATGCTCTCCCAGTGCATTGCAGAAGTACCCATCACTGTAGCATGTAGGTTGTGGAAGAATGGATACACAAATGAGTGAGTGTGTAGTTTGCTTGAGATCTTTTTTTAGTCAGAAAAGTAGCTTTCTTAAAAGCAGACATTATCATATCTCGTCACTTCTGGAAGAGCTGATGAAAGAGGAACAATTAGGGTGGAGGGATGGTGTGCTAAGCACAGGACTCTCATCATGAGGCACAAGCCATGCAGCCTCACTATTTTGTTTATGACTAAGGCAGAGAGGAAAAAAGCTCTGAGCAGCTTGGGCTGCTCCCTGGTCTCTACTCCCAGATTCAGGCAGGAATCTGTATCTCTGACTTTCAGCTTGTCGACAAAGCACCAGGACTAAGATCTCATGTTCAACATTTGTGTGCTTCATCGTTGAGGAACACCTGAAGAAGAAGGGAGGCTTTTGCACAGTGTGTCAATACATAAAGGAGAGACAGAGTTTTGGAACATGGATGCCTATGCCTCTGTTGATGAGCTAGTCTAAAATAGAAAACAAGTGATTTGACAGAGAAAATGAATTAGCACGTTGTTGGAAATGAACATCCTGAGGAGTTATAGAAACAGGTCAATGTAGGGTTAGAATAAATGGATTACACCAGCAGCCTTCTTACTTCCCAAGCGGTGGATGATGTAAAAGAAGTAACTTCTAACTACAGTTCTTTGTGAGAAATGGCTCCATCTGATAGAATGTTTATTCGGGCTGTCCTGGACACCTTTCTTGTTTTGGAATTAATTACTTTTGGGGGCTGCCTGACTTTAGTGATAAAAGGAGTGTAAGCAACAGAGTTAGGATTAACTTTAAGGCAGCTGAAATGAAGTGAGAAATACACTATCTCAAGATAGTGCACAGCGATGTGTGCAAGCTTTATAAAACTTGTAACAAGTGCTGGCATGTTTCCAGTCTAAGGCTTTAGCACCTACTTTTCCCTGATGATAAATCCTGGTGAAGGCAGTGGATTACTTTGTACTTAAAATTGTCTTGAAAGAGGATTCTTGCTCTCACACACACGTGCACATGTATGTTTAGAGTGGTCTTCAAGAATCTGCAAGAGAAAAGGAAATATTTTTATTTGAAAAGGACTCAATCTTTCATGATTTCAAATTTCCTAATGGACTATAAATAAGAGGGTCTGATCATATATAGTAAAATGTCAAAGAACAGAGGTATCAAGCAAATTCCATAGGGACCTGCATTGGAACTAGTGCTAAGTGCAATTAATTTATAGGGATATGTAAATTGAACATTAATCAGATTTCCAGACAGTAAAAATGATGAGGGATTGCAAAGGCATTGGAGGATAGAAAAAAAAAAAGAATGATCTGAGGAGTCTGGTGGCATGTGCAAACAACAGTAGGATAAGATTTAATTTAGATAGATGCAAAGTAATTCAGCTAGGGAATGCTAATACTGAGCTGCAGAAATAAATGCGTGACTGTGAAGAACAGTACTGTGACAAAGGTGCTTGGGTGATAATAGATGACAAATTAAAGGCAAGGACAAAGTGTGATGCTGTTCCAATTTGATATTTGTTTTATACTTGCGTAGGAGAAAGGTGTAAGAACTTGTAGCCAAAACAGTAATTATGTTTCTCCTTCCCTTCCGGCTGTCTCACTACATCTCCTTGGTAAGAATGAAATGCATGAGTGAAAAGTAAAATAAATTACAAAGAATTCAACGAAGGATAACAACAATATGGAAAAGTAGATTGCAGGCCATGATCACAAAGAGAAATTGAAGGAACCAATGATGTACAATTTACAGAAAAGATGAAAAAGGGGATAAAAATATTTATAAGACAACAGAATAGAGGTCAAGGAATTATTCTGTATGATAAAGGACAGCTGAGAGTAGCGTGAAAATTGAAAAGGGAAAATTACATTTGACAGCAAAGGAAAAGAAATAATCTGCCAACAACAGAGTTGATGAGACAGGGGAATGTTTGCTAAAAAACTTCTCAGAGACCCCATCACCTAGACTGCAGGTGGTCATGAGAGGACATTTAATGAGTTCATTATGTGGAAGATGATTGTATGTTAGTGCTGAGGGTTGAGATGGGACTCAGTAGCCTAGGATACCTGTGCATTCCATTCATCTCTTATTCTGAGTACAAAAAATCAGAATACAGCATTCATATTTTTATTCCACAGCTGTAAAGCCCAAAGAAATCTGAATTCATTCTTTGCTATTGTTATGGGTCTCAACACTGCATCTGTCAGCCGGCTGTCTCAAACCTGGGAGGTAAGATGCATCTTTGTATCTTTTAGATCCTGTCAAAACGATTTCTCACAAAGGTTGCATACTGGTGAATTACCTTGTCTATCTAATTATTGTTTTTTCATGCTGAAATCAAACAAGGGAGCAAGTGTAGATAGAGAAGCTTCTTTGTATAGGTGGAGAAGGTTCTTTGTGACCTGAAATGTTAGATACATGGCTATTCAAATAAAACTAAATGTGTCTTTCCAGAGCTTTTAAATAAGAACAAAGGAAGAAGTTTTTACCCTCTAAAAAAAAAAAAAAAAAGTCAGGTAAATTATCTTAGCATTTTAATTAGATGTCAGAACAGGCAGTTTTATAAGGGTGTCTCAAAACAGGCAATCCCTTATTATGGAATAATTTCATTTAAAAAATAAAAAGTAGAAACAATCCCTCTTTAATTATCCTTAACCAGATCTTTTGCAGCTGCTCATCTTGAACAACAAAGTAAGGAAATGGGCTATGCATAAGGAGCATAGCAGAGAACAGAGATTATCTGCTAAAGAAGCTGCGGGTTGTGAGACAGAGTGTGGGATGTTTAGAGGAGAGGGTCCCACTGGGATCTGTGTTTATATTGTGGTTTTTTTTCCATCAAAATTAATTATTGATTGGTAGTATCTGCAAGATTATTGTATCTGCTGATGAACCAAAAATTAGGGAAGGAGTAATTTTGTGTAATGTGGTGATGCTTCATGCCTTCCCCATTCCTGCAACACTACAGATGGGCAGTACTCAAAAAAATGTCAGTCCACAGTACAAAGTGACAGAGAATGGCTGTGATCTCCTGCCTTGGAGATACTGTTGATCACCAACAGCTCAACCCAAATGGCCATCAGAGACTTGCAAACCTGTCCAACACTGTCCAGAGCAAAGTCTTCCCCCAGAGCTGAAATCATGCATATGGAAGCCTCACTGCCTATGTCAGTGGCTTCCGCAGGCAGAGAAACAAGGGCAGTGACTTGTTGCTTCTGTGGAGAGGAGCTTATAGGGACTTGGATAGGCAAGGAGGAGCTATCTTTAAATAACAGGTAAGCAAAAATTTTAGAGGAAAATACGTACTTGAAGATGACGATACAGAAATTCTTTCTCCTACTTTTAAATGTTGCCATTAGGGAACATTTGCCCTTGCCTGCTCTTATGTGTTGTTTTCCTCTCATTTCTCTGGGCTTTGGTAGCAGAGTGCAAGGGACTAAGTATTGTAACAAAGGCACCCAGTGGCAATGGCATAGATCTCTCCCACATAGAAACACGCAGAACTCAGCTGTATGATGAGACTTCCAGAGATCATGTGCAGCTAGTGGACTGCTCAGGAAGAGCAGAATATATTGCTTGCTGGAACAAAGAGTGCATCTGCATATGTATCATTGTAAATATGTCACGTTTCTGTGTGTAAAATATTTATGAAGTCACGTGCTTTTTTATTTATTTATTTGTAAAACTTCACTGGAAATTTCAAAAGCAGAAGGTTATTTGCACTAGTAATATGACTTCTAGAAAGTAGAGCAATGTTTATAAATTAATTATAATTGCTTACACATGTAAATGAAGCCACCTAAATTTAAGCAGCCATTTAGACACTAAATTATATTGGCTCTGCACTTGAATTCTTAAATAAGTAGTATGATCCCAAGCATATTCTTCTACTTTTTTCTACAGTATGCAGTGTTTTAATGAGCCTATCTTTCCCTCATTGAAGATATTAAAAATTTGCAATTGCAATTCCATGTTCAGTTATTTTAGCATTTTAATCATGCAGCACTTCCACTTAATCTTAATTGTTCCAAATCTCTTCTCTCTTGGTGGTGTCATTGTGGCTGTCATGGTTTAAGGACAAAGGCAAGACAGAATTTGTACTAAGGGGCTGTGTTTTACCAGACTAACTGGTGTGCTTGGAAAAACAGATGTGCTTTAAGGTCCACACACCATTCTTCAAGTCTGAAGTCTGAAAGACCAGCAGCAAAATTCAAACTGAAGACAAATTGCTTTGAGTATAATGAGGTGAATCCATTAGAGCATCTTAGAGATACAAGGAAGTGGATGTTTGTGGAGCAGAGCAGGTGTTATCATATGGGGCAAGAAGGTAGTTTGTGCCTGGGCTCCCTTGGAAGGTGTTTTGTGTATCTCCTGGTGGGATTAGGATGAGATACCAGAGATAGAGTAATCACTTCTTAAGGAAAGTTCTCTTTTTCTGGCACTAGCGTGTGCCAGTACTACCACTGGTCAGCCCTGGGGGCAGTGTATCAAACACCTCTGAGCCTCTTAATTTCTAGAACCTATGTTTGAGGGCAAAATAGATTACAACAAATGGTTTAACCTGGATATGATGACAGTATCTGAATTTTCAGCCTGTGTTGCAATTTTGTAACTTGATATGGATATTAAGGTAAATGCAGCAGACATGGAAGCTAGGGAAGGAAATAAAAACATCTGCCAACAAGCAGTTCTCATGAAAGAAGGCTGCATGTCCCCAAGACAAGGCTGCAGGGTCTGGTGCTTCACTACCATCATGCTGGATATAATTAGGGCTCTTGGAGCTGAGGAGCAGAGGTTAACTGCTTATTGGTACTTCCAGCAGGTGCGTGGCACACAGCAGTCTCATGGAAAAAAAGGCCTCAGCATTTATCTGCCTAAATCAATTTTCCTTTTTTTTTTTTTTTTTCCCCCCCCTCTGTTTTCCCCACTTCAGAAAATTCCTGGGAAGTTCAAGAAACTTTTCACTGAGCTTGAAAGTTTGACGGTAAGTTTGGTGTTGACAGCAGAATGGGATTGCTTGTCTTTACCTGCCTTCCTTCTTCCTGATTTATTTGGAGGCTGCCTGCCATTGTCTCAAGCTGGAACTTGTCATATCAGATCCGTGGCTTGCCAAAGGCCACACAACCCCCCAGAGCTCAGAGCTGGTCTCCAAACACAAAAAGGAAAAAGGCTGTATTCCTGACAGCTGGAGCAAGGGCAGAGAGGGGCAAATGTAGTGCCAGTTCCCCAGCACCAATTTGGAAGCTGTTCTTTTGCTATGGTGGTTAATCAGCCTTTATCCGAAGCAACATGCTGCAGATCAGGAGAAAAGGACAGCTGAAGTTTAAAAAAAAAAGAAAAAAAAAAAAGAGGGCGAGGCTAAGGGTCTTTGTCACCATTATCAAAGCTGAATAAACAAGTGTTTCCTCTGGCTGTCATGGAAGCGGGTGCGTGGGGAGATCACTGCCTGGCACGGGGAATGGTTGTCATGCTTCTGTACTCAGTCCTTTGTAAATTAATGTGTTTTCAAGAATGTGTGTGAGCCGGTGTACAAAAACGTTCATTTGTATGGGAAATTGAGATGACTTTTTGAATTACTTACATAACATCACTGAAACATACTCTTCTGTTTTCCTTGAAAATCTCCAGTATGTTTCATTGATCTGAGAGATGTTTTTGTTGAGATTTTGTTGTTGTTGTTGCTTGGTGGTGTTTTTTTTTAAGAATAAATTAATCAGCGATACATTCTGGGGTACATTTTGTGCTAGATAGTAATCTAAAGGGATTTTGCTAGTAGAAATTTGTGGAGAAATTACAAACCAGTCCAAGTGAATCTATTCTGCAATTTACTCCCTTTTCAGCACTGCTTCATCTAGAGGAACATAATTGCTTTTGTTCCTTTCACTGTTTACGTTTCCTGATCAGTTTAGTAAGTCACCTAGCTTAGAAAACCCTTATCTCCCTCATTTCCCAAAGAAACCTTTTATATCTAAATCATGTTCAGATCATAAGCCCGTAATGGATTTAGAATTGCTCTTTTTATAGCGCATTGATTTTTCTCTCTATTACCCAAATGGTTTTGTAGGACCCTTCTCTGAATCACAAAGCTTACAGAGATGCATTCAAGAAAATGAAGTCGCCGAAAATCCCCTTCATGCCCTTACTTCTGAAAGGTAATGTTAAAACTTGGCTACTCTTCTTTGTTGTGGTTAATTAAACTAAATGTAAGGTGATTTTTCCTTCAGGTGGCCTTTTGATAAGAATGTGGCAGATGTAGTGCTATCTACCAGATCGCACTTGGTCTGGATAATAAACAAATGCCTTTTAAAGCCAGGGGAAGATGGAAATTTTCACACAGGTTTTCAAGCTTCAGGTGTGGATAGAGCAGCATGCCATTGCTTTGGCCACGTCCTCCTCAGTGGAGAAACGGGAAGTTGCAAGCCCCAGGACGGGGCCGCCTGTCTGGGCTGGGTGCGCCCACAGGAGCAGCCTCAGCTCAGGGGTGCTGCCGTGCTGAGGTGCTCGCCCTGCCTCGCTGGGGTGGAACTACCTGGTGTCACCCTGAAGGCAGAACCTGCCCCGTCTCTCTGTCCTGAGAGGAGGGGATCTCTGATAGATCTGAAAAAATATAAATAATATTTTAAAATCAATTAAATCAAAACTACTTGCTTAACACAGTGAGCTGGGCAGCTAATTAAGTGACAGGTATTTCAAATACTCTGTTGTCTTGGAGTCATTAATTATTAATTGCCTTGCCTTTGAACATGGCAATTCATTTGCTTATTCCTGTATTCTGAAAGTGTTCTCTTTAGGCTGTTTATTCCAACCTGCTGCTGAGAGTTTAAAATGTTTGAAGACAATTCTCCAGATCCATCAGTGACAGTTCAGCAGTGATCAGGCACTTCCCTTCTTTGAACACATCAAAGGAGTTTGCATTAATTCAGATGGATAGAATTATCAAGACTTCAAAAATCAATATTTTTTAAGTGTTCTCAAGTATCTCTTGTCTGCAAACAGAGCCAGCAAACATGTTACTTGTTAGTAACTTGTAGCAATGATGTTTGCGCAGCACTGCAATATGGTGTATAAGAACCTGCACATAAGCAGCATTCATGTCTCTAAAACGTATTGGAGATAGCAAGGAGACTTTGCAAAATAGTACAGTAATTTTCTT